AAGCACAACGTAGGGACTTCGCCAGTGTTATTTATGGGAAGATCGACCAGACATTGATAATGATTTCACATCAAACATCGAAAGAATGAAACCACAATAAAATATTTCTCAATATTAACTATCATCGACGGCAACTCTTCCGTTTTCTCATACGAACGCTATGAGACAGGTACAATCGCGTCATCTGCCGCTCAAAGGTAAATGCTTTGAACGAAATTGATAGCAAAGATTACATCCTCAGAAGAAAGGTTTGTGTATTTGCTCATTTTTCTATGCGTTTCTTCCACCTTCACCCAAGTGCAGCGCTATTGTATCTGTCGCTTGGATTCTGCCAAGTCGCCAGTCTTCTTGATATGATGTCTTCGCTATCATCCAAATAAGCCCAACTTATAACTTTCACGGTTGTCAAAATGTTTTGCGTATCATGATTTATCAACTTCTTCAGGAGCGATTTATGCGGTTGTAATATAGTTTTATGGTAGTCATCAAAAGGTTGTTAAAACTTTCAGACCAGGAGGAGATTTTATGCTTTCATTTTTAACAACCACGTGTAGAGTGTGATAAAACTGACATAAAACCTATGCTCCTAAGGTAGTTCACATATAAAGTTTTAATGATAGCCTTAAAAATAGGCCAATTGGCCGTGACATGGCTGTATAGCGGTTTACAGGAGGTTGTTGAAGCAATATGGTCGCCAGTGAAGGTTTTATAATCTGGTTGTATCAACTGATTTAAAATTTCAATAAAACCAAAAATTGTTGCTCGGGATACTATGTTGGACAACAAAATGTAGGGCACTCTGTAAGTAGTAAATTCAAGAATAAGGGAAGAAAATATTGTAATGGATCATTGTAACACTTTTTAGAATCCTCTAAAAAGGTTAAATACATAACCGATACCGTCGGATATTGAAGTACGTTGTAGTTTCATTTATATACCTGTGATCTTGACATTTTTACCTAGGGAATGAGTACTAAAGGGGGTTAGATTTTGATTAGTCTTTAGTGGGAATGACACTTATAATTCAAATCAGTGAGCCAAAAACTATTTCACTCGGCTATTTAAATAGTTAGCGATCGGCTTTTACGCATTCAATTGGGTTCTCCCTTGGTAGAGAAAATTGTTCGGCTGCCTTTCAGATTATCCTTCATTCCCTCTACTGCTGCCAGTTCCCAGTCTACCTGTTAAGTCATTTGGTTGGATGCATTTACACTCGTTCGGCTATCTGTAAGTGAGGATGGCTATTTTGTTTCTGTGGTACTCGCGTGAGTGAATGAATATTCCCATGCTTGTTCCCAAGTATGAAACCATGAAACTGAAATACGTCCCAGAACCTTGAAGAAATGGTCCATGTCTTGGATCTTTAAAAAACTGTTTCTAGTCTACGAACTTTTCCCTGGATTTAAATAGTTCAAGTCTAAGCTTTCTAAAAAAAAATCATTGTTTCTCTTTCCTACATGATTGGTGATATCATTACCTCTATGCTGTTGTTGCATATAAGTGGGCATCACATAAACCCCAATCCTCAGAAGCCCAACATATTTTTGCTAAGGATCAATCTACGGAAATTCTTATTTTCGTTTTGTGCATGAACTTGCATCGTGCTCCAACTTGTTGCAGGTAATACACAAAATCTTCATCGACCTTCTGTCTATCTAATCTTCTCACGACAGCAAATCAAAATGTACTCTGCATCTTAGGTACCGTCACCTTCGTCAATTGCATGAAATTCTTCGATGCACGATTCAATGATATCAACTTGACAAATCGCAGGTAATCATGACAGCAGTATGTACATCACATCTGTTCTTCATTTATTATATTTTCATTAATAAAATGCCATGATTTTGGTTGTTTGCCGGTAGTTTTGCTACTGTTTGTATTTTCATTTTAAAATCAATGCGTAAAAGCCCTTTAAACACCCAAACATACACAGAAAAAATCTAAATTTTAATGGTGATGTAAATATTCATGAATGTAAACTTTTTTTTACGTAAACAAGCGACTTGCAAGAAATTTTGCTTACAAAGATGGATGGTTGGAATATCTCATGAAATGTCTCATAAATTTATATGATCTATAATGTGAACTTGCATGATATAGGGGAAATGGTTCTAATGTTGGCCTATGGATTTAAGATTGGGCCCATCGCTAAAAATTAGCTATTTATCAATTTTATCTAGATGAACGCATCATTGAGACGGTACTAATGGATATTTTTGTTCGCTATTGAAAATTTAGTCGATTGCTGAATTTATGTATGGACCCAAATTAGGGGCATTTCCCCTATGACGCTCCATTACGCTTGCATCATAGTGACAGAAATTTACATTACTTTTTTTTAACTGTGTGGTTTAAACAGAGTGAGAGTGATAGGTAAAGTAAGTTATGTCAATTTGATCTGTTTTGCTTCAAATTTGGGAGCTCACGAAGTCTATTAACGATCCGATTACCGAAATTACCGGATTCCGGTTATTTCGGTAATCGAGGTGGTAATGAAGTCCGTGAGCTTTCGAAGCAAAACAAATTCAATTGATATACACAGAAAAAATCTGAATTCTGCTAGTTACGTGAACATCCATGCATGTAAAATTACTTTTCACATAAACCAGCAACTTGCAAGAAATGTTGCTTGCAAAGATGGATGGTTGCATACAATTTATGGAATATTGCATGACATGTCTCATACATTTACGCGATCTTTAATGTAAACCGGTATGATATATGACGCTCCATTTATGTGCATCATAGTAACATAAATTAGCCGACGCCGGTGGTGTAGTGGTAAGCGTGACTGCTTTCTAACACCCCGATGGGTCTGGGTTCAATCCCAGCCGAGGTCGGTGGGATTTTTCTGAGGCATAAAAATCTCTGGTCACGTCTTCCTTCGGAAGGGAAGTAAAGCCGTTGGTCCCGGCCCATGTGTGTTGAATGGGTGCGATATCCTACGCAGGTGTGGAAAGCTGCCTTCCTGCACATTCGATTGCCATCAATGGATGGCAATCGATGTCCGTCGGTGATTGGCACTAGATTGCGGAACAGAGACCGACGTTAAATAAAGGAAAGAAGAAGTAACATAAATTTACAATACTTTTTCGAACTGTTATAAGTTATAGCTTAAACAACGCCTGTGGTGTAGTGGTAAGCGTGATTACCTCTCACCCCTGCAGGCCTGGGCACAATCCCAGTCGGCGCCGCCGGGATGTTCTGAGGCATAACATCTCTGATCACGCCTTCCTTCAGATGGGAAGTAAAGCCGTTGGTCCCCGGTTCATGAGTTGATGGGTCGATAGGTAGGGTCCAGGTGTGGGAGCTGCCTTCCTGGCACGTCGGTAGCATTGGTGCTCAGCACGGAAAACAAGATCGACGGAAAAAACAAACCAAAGGAAAAAAAAAAAAGTTATAGCTTACTTTATCTATCACACCCGCTCAGTTTAAAGTACTTTTTAGATTTGGTTTGAAACTAAAATTACGAGCTGTAGTGAAATTACTGGTAAACAACCCTAGCCATGATTACCCGGGAATTTTCAATTGTATTGCCCCGTGCACCGAAGAATAAAAAACCAAAACAGTATGACATTTGTTGACCCGAGCCTAATAAAAAAAAAAAAAAAAAACAATGATGATATAACATCATCAACCTCATGTCAGTATTCATCCACCTATTCAAAGCGACGCGTGTTTGGCTCAACGAGCATGATAGTGATGATGAAATAAGCCGTTGTTGTCATTGGCTACCCCACTCGAAGGCATTCCCCAAGAGGGCATGCTAATCATATGTTGAATCCCCCCCGTGAGCAGTCCTTATCAGGCAGTATGTTTTCTTTGATCACTCTTATTTTGCTCAACTTGGTCTGTTGTCCGTTGCATCACAGATAACAGACGTTGAGGCTCGAGCAAAATTTCTATAAAAACTATTGTGAAGAATTTCATTCACTAAAGCACCGCCAACGCCGAGTGCCCAACTTACAAACCCGCTGACGTTGCGCAAATTACAAACACTAAAAGCCCAAGCGCAATGATAGCGGAAGTGGCATACTTGTCGAATTGAAAACTAATTAGAACCATATCGACTTTGGTTAGGCATGTTGATATAATTTGTGACAACTGTCAAACTTTCCGTTTCCGTTCCACTTCCACCCATATTGCGTTTGAGCCTTAAGTACCGTTAGTACCCAGTAAACAAATTGATCGGCACATTGATGACAAGTTTAATAAATACATAACGCCACTTATATTTACCGTGCCAGCACCATATTTGACGCAGTTCCTAATGGTGACCCACTTGTCTATTTTTAATCGTCTTTCGATTGTTATTTTAAAAAGCTTTGTTACACCTTCATCTTTAGAGCACCGGAACTAATATTTAACATTTCAAAAATATTAATGCAAAATAGTCGAAAATTGTCGAGTGCGTCAAGTTAGAAACCGAGTCAAATATGGTGCCTTCACGGTATACAAGTCTCTGACTGAAGTAGGACGTCTGTTCTCTGTGGTTGCATTTGCATTGCGCTTTGAAGTCAGACACTTGGAGGTATCTAATCACTTCGATTGCATGCCCATCAACATCAGATTAGGATGTTTATAGCAATTCAATACAGAGCTGAAAAAGGGCCCAACAGCTTTTGTAAACAAAGACTTCTCTTGATGATTTCTAGGAATTCAAGACACGCCTACGCAACATAATCATCGGGTATGTTGTTTTACGTGGGCGAGTATTGACTTTCTAGAAATCACCAAGAGAAGGCATTGTTCACAAAAACTGTTAGGCCCTTTTTCCAGCTATGTATTGAATTGATCACTATCACAATATTTGCAAAATCGCGAATTTATTATTCTGTTTTCCATCGACTTGGTAGCAACAAAAACAAAGCCTTTCTGGGTGGTTGCAACCACCCGTTACAGGATAGGGCTGTCACTCTCCTATTAATCATTAGCTATAACGGTCGAATTGCAACGTGAGTTGATGATATTTGTGTTATTGTTTGTATGAATTGCAGACTTATTGACAAGGGATACGTAAGTGGACGGTAAACATAACTACACACTAAAAAATGATAAACGAGAAACGATTAGCTGATGACGCCAATGGTGACGAGGAAGACGCATACCGGCAGCTCACGCCGAAAAATAATCTACAATTGATTAGTCCAACGCTGACATCCGGTTCCGCCAAAGATAAAGATGGAGAGGATGGAACACTGACAGCACTGTACGGCTCGGTTGTTGAACTGGCCCGGACTGCCAGCAAGCGGAGTAATCGGATGCAGGTAATAACATATGATTTAAAGCTTAATTGAATTTGTGAATAAATTATTAATTATTAATTTTAGCTGACCATGAGCATTTTGGCAAATTTGACGGTGCTCTCATCTGGCATGGGATTGGGATACTCGGCCATAACGTTGCATTCACTAACGAGAGAGGAAGATCCATTGCGGTTGAATCCGGAACAAGCTTCGTGGTTTGGTAAGTTTGTTTTTCTTTGTCTACAACAGCAGATGCGGCTGTTGGAAAACGTCACAGTTTTCTCAGAGTTCATTTTTTCAAGTTCTCAAACATTTAATTGATTGAAATTATAATTAGTATTCCTTTAAATTTTTAAACTCGCCTGAATTTGTATCCATAATCCAATTTCTGTTTATTTGAATTATGAGTTCCTTTGAATCCCTTCCCTTCCGAATAACCGTTAAAATCCTCACAGAATTGTAAATTCCCTGGGTAGCTATGTCACTACAATTCGGCAGCAGGGTTTTGCATATCAATTCTAGATGAACATTTCAAAAGATCCTATCTGCATTGATCGATTCTCAATATCGACATTCACGTAAAACAACAACACCATCGGGTAGGGGACAATTGGGAAATAGTGCTTTTGTTTTGCGTGGGCGTATTACGGTTCGTGTGAACAAGGCCTACGAGTTTTGTTTGCAAACGTTGATTGCGGCTTTTAAAATTTACGCGAGTTATACAAGAATTATATCACGAAAAATTTGACTAATACCCCGTTCACATTACAGCGTATATCACGTGATATACGCTGTCTTGCAATGAGCACTCATACATCTAGTTTTCACTGGAAATCCTATGTATGAGTGCTCATTGCAAGACAGCCTATATTACGTGATATAGGCTGTAATGTGAACGGGGTATAAAAGTAACCTCCCTCCCCCTTCTGTCACATATGGTCATAATTTATCGACCTTGAAAATAACGTCACGCAATATCAACCCAGTTGTCATTAGAAATTATCGTTTTGTACGCTACGATTTTGTTTGTTTACGTTGCTTGAATTCTCAGTGAACTGGTGAGCTACTTTGGCCAAGTTTTGCCCTAACCGGTCGTGGAAATGTAATGAAGTGTAACAAAATGAGGAGCCGGAGTTTTGTGGACTACCGTCGGATTTTTATCAATTGAATTCTATGCGTTTGTGCAGTGTATGTTACAATGATAATTATTTGGTGGTATCTAGTTATAATTTAATGCTTCTTCCAGTACCACTTCGATCACACGCAATTGTATTCTGCTAAATAATTGAAGGGTAATAAAAGTGCGAGCCTTCTTCTTATCGTGTTGGTGTCTTCGATGCACTCATTCCCTATAAAGACACCAAAACTTTTTGACGGAATCGTGCCCTTTCATCATACTTTTTGATTTTTAAGGCTGTTCAGTTGAAGATGCAATCAGCAATATTAATGGAACGGAAAAATCTATATAAATTGTCCATTAACAATTTATAATATAATTGTTAACTATTCTTCAAACTCTTTTATGTGAACATACACATTAGACTGATGCAAAATTTGAAATGTTCGCTCCACAGTGCTCAAACGGTTTCAAATCGAATCCTGATTAGACTCTGAAAGTTTAAACTCATTTGATGAAAAACTGGCTTGGCACAAACCATTTGAAGTTCATATGGAAATTACTATGGGAAAACCAAACTATTTGTTCATTGTCTTCTAGCCTTTTTCTATATTATACTGTTAACATAACTGTCAACGTAACTGCCATACAATGAAACCACTGGAAGCGGCTCCAGTTCTGATGGAGGAGGCTTTTTGAATAGCGGAAGATAAAGTGTTTATTGTGTTGTACCTTTTGACTATAGTTTTAAGATGTATTGTATAGTGACCAAGAATCCTTGGCTCTGTAAAGTTAATTCAGTTGAGCCTTATCAAATAAATTAATGAACAAAAAAAGAAGCACCAATGTTGCCTGCTGAACAGTTGATGGAGCATAATCATAAGACATCAGTGACTTGAATCATTAATAACTTCTGTTTCTTACATTTGATCGAAAAGTAGTCTTGAACAAAGTTGTAGCTGAGAAAATTTTCAACAAGCGCTGCTATCATTTTCTAAAGCAGAGTGAACTGCTGAATTATGAGACATATATGAAGCGAAATTATGGTTTCCTCATAGTAATGTCCATATAAACTTCAAATGGTTTGTGCGAAGTCAGTTTCTTACTAAATGAGTTCAAATATTGGGAGGATAATCAGGATCCAATTTGGAATCGTTTGAGTACTGTGGAGCGAAATTTTCAAATTTTGCATCAGTCTAATGCACATCGTAGTGGTATAATTTTATTTTTATTTTTAAATAAATTCAAACATTTATGTCAGCCCAATTACAACACCATTCAACTCAATAAGAAATCCTCGGTACATTTTCAAATCAAAATGCTCGTTCGGCTCACATTTTGACAGTTCTCACTGCTCGATTTGCTTAAGATGGCCGCTGCCGCGAATCTCTATATATAGGATTACTAGTTGTCATAATCGATGTTTGTTTGGCATTAAATTTTACATAAATATTGTACCTAGTTGAATCCTGGGTGATGCGAAATGATTTTTTTCCATCGTTGGTATCGGTTGGTAGCAAGCACTGACAGACTGAATTTTGCCTAAAGTCAACTCATAACTCTTCGATTGTAGAATTTACGAATTCTTGAAAGTGAAGGAAATAGCATAATGAATACTTTTTTGATTCAAAAAGTTAAGAGAAACAGGTTTGGTGTTTTTGAAAAACTGTAGCTAACATATTATTACATCCAAGAGGATGCACTTCAATCATGTCGAAAATCTTATTTTATGGCCACAAAAATAAACAAACGCAGTAAAAGTAGCGTAATGGCGTGTTTAATGATAATTTTGTCCTTTTTGGCAAGTAATATTACACCATATTTTCAACACAATTGAAGTGCACTTTGATGTGATATTAAAATTATTTTTTTGCTGTGTACACTTATTTTCATCATAGCAACTTCTTTAAGGTACAAGCAAAACAATTTTATTCTAAATCCAATGTAAGGTTGGATTTATTACATCTACTGCACTGCCTATACTCGCATATCAGTCCCATGTGGATTTTCGTCAATTTTGAGATAACAACGCTATCCACTATCAATTGGGTTCTTTAATTTTTAAAAATATATCCGTTTTTATATATCATCTGAAAGAGCTTCGTTTTCTGAGCACAGCAATATTTTTTTCGATCCCACACACTTGCATCTCGATTTTTAAATCAAGATTTAAAGCAAAATAATAACTTCCCTGTTTCTAACCTAATCTAATCTAATACAAACGCAGCCAGTCCGAGAAAGCATCCTGGAAAATGATTAGGTGTGATGAGGTCTAATCATTTTTCTTGTCTAATTGATGTTTACAGCATATCTGATATATGATATGAACATCAATGCGGCCAGGTCTACTGCGTTGTATTTGCCGCAAAGATGATTCTTGGAAGTGAATGTGAACATTTCTTGAATCTGCAGGGGTGGAAGGATGCGTGGACATACCGTACAAAACGCTCCGAGTTACTATGCGTAGTTGTGTGTAATGTGTAAATATTTGTACAATATTGAAGAATAATAAAATAATGCAATGGAAGGATCTTACCGAATTTTCTCCTATGTTGGTAATGATTCTTTTACGCTTAAAAGTTTCATTGGATGCATCCGCTTCTTGTTTATCATGGGGTTTGTGATGCAGTTCCAGTCATTGCTCGTGGTTATGTTTAGTCCGTCGCGTCCGGACCAGATCCTTAGCCATAATCTTGACCGCATCCATCTGATTTTCTTTGGCTAGCTTTTTGATGTCGGCGATGATCTTCTTTTCCTGCTGTTCCATTTTCATCTTCTCCCGATCTAAATCCCGCATCGCTTTATTCAGAACCCGCTGGTTCTTGCGCATCATCTTGCCCGGAGACATTTTCTTACCGAACAGCCACTCCATTTTGCTGGTTGTTTTCCGGATCAAATAGTGGTAAAACTGGTTGAATAAAGCGGAGCTTCGGTGGTCTCACAAGCTAATCTTGCACAAAATTGGATTCTATTTTGTTTTTCGAATCTGACTCTACTTGTAATCGGAATACCGGTCATAAATGCACTTGGAAAAACCTTCTTTCGGCCATAAAAAGAAAAAACTATTCTTCAAAAAACTTATTGATTTTCAAAACTGGCAAATCATCTTCAGATAAAATTTGGAAAACCGCGACGAAAACATAATATACGAGCAATTTGACAGCAGAATTTTTTCGCGTCCGTTTTGAACCAGAGCACACTTTGATCGGCAATAATAACTTCCCTGTTTGACACTAAACTGACAAACTGACAGCTCGACTTATTAAAAATAGTTCCAGTGTACCAAAATTGGTAAAATTTTAGGTTTGGGTTCCATTTTAATGCAGATTACGAATATGCATTTACCTCAATACCCTTAAAGAACCCAATTGGTATCTACTTTCATATTATTAAAACTGTGGACTTTGATCATGAAAAATGTGAAAACAGCATCAGGTCAGTTTGTCCCATCAAGCAAAATAATCGCATATCAGTCCCATCCTGAAATTAATTCGCCCATAGTTCAAGTTAAAGGTCTGCTTATTTTTCACTGATATAATAAAACATGCAAGCTTCATGGCAACAGATTTTAACTTGAAAAAACTATCAATTAATTTACTATTATTTATCAAATATTCACATGAAAATTGCACTTCGTAGCTTCGACTACCATTTTCTCAATGCCTACTTTTTCCATATGGGACTGATATGGAATTATAGTGCCCATAATTGCATATCAGTCCCATCTTTGCTTGATTTCCTATCCATATGGGACTGATATGCGATTATGGGTAATATAGCCAGTGCATATGTGTCATAGAACGTCAACGTACAAGAAAGCTATTCCAGAATGTATATTTTTGTATAAAACCTTCACCAGATGATTTTTTAGACCCAATGCATTTGGAGAAACAAACTTTGTTCGAAAAATAAGCTAAAAGGAAAATAGAAAAAATATTTAAAACACCTTCCGGCGACCACATTACAGATTCTGTTCATGTCGCGAAACATTGCTAATTCTGCATACTTTCCATGCAAATCTATAATAGAATCTTACATTTCCCGGTTGTACCGTACTACCGTAGGTATTCGGTAATTTTTTACTGAACTTTCATCAGCTGAACGTTCGGTAATCAGTTCGTTAATCCAAGTGACTACCGAACGATCGCTAAACGGTATATTTTATGAAATGTCAAAACTACCGATGTTTTACCGAACGTTATTTGTAACGAACTGTTCCGTAAAATGGAAATCGTCGATCTTTTTCATTTGATTGGCGTTTTAGATCTATTTGCAAGTTCTATTTATTTAAAATGATGATCCAATATGAACAACTGGGAGCCTGCATAATTGCGAAAATGCGTGCATTGACTTTGAACTCAGTAGTAAAAGCTCCAGCAGAAAAACACAAAATCGTTGATAGTGTCTGAAAAGCAATAACGCCTACTACATCAACGTTTTCTTATGAAATATTTGAGTGATACTTGCTCTATTAACGGTGCCGCTCAAAGTTTCATCAGAATATTCTGATCACTGTCCACTACTCACTTTTACAGTTGAAATTGAGCTACAGTTACAGTTGTAGTTGAACATATCTTGCATCTTGATTTGACAGCTTGAATCAATTTACAAGCAATGTAAACGAGATTGTAATTTGTAGTATGTTCGGTATTTTTTTACAGAATTTGGCGTTTGATTTGTTTGACAGTTTGTTCTGTAATTGGTTCCACCTAGTTTGATAATTTAATAATCAAATCACCGTATATTCATTGAAATTTACCAAATTTCAACAACTTTGGAACAAATTTTTTAACTTTTTGTTTAAGCAATGTTGTATGATATTTTGCACAGAAAACCATTTATTAAACTTTTAAAATCGTTTATGTTTACTAAAAAGGTATAAACAAAAATTTTAAAATTTGAGCACAAGTTGTTGTTGTACGATTTTTGTTTATGTTTAAGTGTCCAACATGAAAGTTTCACAAAAGATTTTTTACATGCATTCAATCAAAGTGTGTTATTACTTCACACGAAAAGTTTACGATTTTCACAGTTGGGAGGAAATAAAATGCTATACTAATATCAACATGAAGCTTTAGTGCGATAATTTATTAGCTAGAGAAAGTTCTGAAGAAGATTGATTGATAGTTCCACTAGAGTGCGGCAGTGTGAAAATTGAAGTTGAACTGTATTTTTTTATTTTAAATGAAAAAATTTAAAAACAGTTTTGAAGAGTTTATATTAATATTAATAATTTAAATTTTTAAACCGTATATATATTTTTTTTCTGAAAAGGAATTATTTTATGCTAGAACATGGCTCAGATGTCATTTCGATTGGAACTGTCGTTGACAAGTTATGATTAATTGAAAAATATCGAATACGCCATTTTGAAATTAATTGCGAGATTCAAAACGGCCGAATTTTAGTTCAAATGTGAATGATTGACCATAACAACCAATTATGAAAAGTTTCATGCAAATCAGATCGATTCGTCATTCGGCGTGGAGCTGCTCTGTTGTAACTTTGTCCGGCCTGCTACTTATCATTTATTCTTATCGAAAGGTTCATTGCAATCACAGTTGCACTTCAACGGTCTGCTTATTCCACAGTAAAAAAATTGTTTCCGCCCGGGATCGAACCGGGGGCCTTCCGCGTGTTAGGCGGATGTGATAACCACTACACCACGGAAACAAGTTATGTCTAAGGTTGTGTAGACGACATCACATTATAAAGCCGGCTATATTTTTGTCGTTATACAATCGCGTTTTATCACTTGAAAAATGTGCATAGTGCTTCATTCCGATTACATTCAAGAAACGAAAAAAAAAACTGTTGGGACCCTCCGTTTCTCACCTTTGTCCAATGCATTGATAAGATTATTTATGGCTCTCTCAGTCTAAGGTAATCCAAACGGTCAGTTATGCATGTCAAGTAGGGCAATGAATAACTGACCGTTTGGATTACCCTAGACTGAGAACCACCTAATAAATTGATTAGAATCTTAAAGCTTACAGTCTTTCTTCCGCTTTAGAAATGCTATATGTATCACCCCTTACCTCGTCTTTTGGTGCAAAACAAAATCGTTGCAACCTAGCAAAGTAAATTATTTTTAGATTTAACGGAAAAAAATATAGGTCTGTTCCCGTACTCGTTCTTTTCTTTATTTCTCTGAAAATTGCTTTAAGCAAATTATATGCTACAAAAAGTACGGAACATAGTTTTGCTTTTTACTGTACACAATCTTACAGAAAAGCAAGAGTTCCCGTACCTCATGTCAATTTCTGTTCGGTAGGTACATTTCGTTTATTGTTACAATTAGTGGTCCAACTCCTTTTAACAGAGCTGGACGATGAAAAAATTATTTTAGACTCATTAGAGTGTCCCTCTCCACGGAAATCTTTAGTAAAAGGCGAAAGATTTATTCGACAATTGAAGAGAGACCAGAGTAACGATTGTGCTGATCCTAAACGAACTTGCCCAAAGCAAACCTCGTTCAACTAGTGATTATCATGTGGTGTTTTTGTGTATACAAAAAATCAAATAAGAACTTCAATAAAAATTAAGAAACCCTTCCCAACACTTCTACCTATGTAACATCTACCCGTAATCAACATATACTACCATCCAATGTGTAACGACTGTTTCCCCTATCTATATTTCCCGCCAACTCTATAGGCCTGTAAAACTTGACCACGGTCATCTTGAAAATCATCATCGTAACGATGTAGATTCCAAAAAATTTCACGGCGTTGTATTGGAGTGAATGCTTTAAATGCTTCTATTTATCAAAATGTGCTTTTCATATTTTTTTTTCGATAATTCAATGACAAAATATTCGTTGAAAGTGATTAAGATAGGTAGATTTTGACTTTTTATCACCCATAGAAAAAACAAAAAAAAAATTAAAAAAAAAGCATTGTTCGAGAAAAAGAAGCATTCAGTGCTAACATTTGAAAACGGCGCAAAAGCCATTTGTAAACAAATGGTTTGTGGGCCCTTTACTCGCTACCCGAAGAACGCCCACGCAAACCAACAGCATCGTCAGGAAGGGGAAAATTTCCCCTACCCGATGTTGCTGTTGTGTCGCGTGGGTGTACTTCAAGTAGTGAGTAAAGGGCCCACAAACCATTTGTTTACAAATGGCTTTTGTGCCGTTTTCAAATGTTAGCACTGCATTTAAAGATTTCTCCTCCATACCTCGCCGTACAAAACTTTGAAATCTGCATCATTCCGATGATTTTCAAGACGGCCGCGAGAGGCCAAGTTTTATAGGCCTATCAGCACATGCGCATGCGCATATACACTCTTCGGGTGACGATACACATTTGTACGGTCTCACTGCGATACAGTCCGGCCGACAAACGGCGGATTTCGCCATTAAGTTAAGGTGCGACGCATACCACACCGCATGCTATAATATGTTTTTGCGTTTTTGTTTCTCTTTCAGCTTCCATAAACTCGATTGCTTGCCCCTTCGGTGGACTAATATCAGGCTATTTGCTCGATCGCATCGGACGAAAGTGGACCCTGGTGCTGATCAATGTACTGTCGATCGTGTCGTGGTCGCTCATTGCCACATCGAGCAGTAGCAACTTCGAGCTGATGTATACGCAGATTTTGATTGCGCGTGTTGTTATAGGTGAGTGTGCTTTGGGTTGGGTGTGATACATTTATTAGGCTGAGGCTAGTACAGAAAATCGCGTCGAAGCTCGTCATAGCATAGAGGGGTGAAAATGATCAGTTATGAATTCGTACATTTTGATTCTGTTTGAATTTTCGGTGCTAAGAGTTTTAAATTGTATATAAGAAGGTATCTATGTCGAACATTTGAAAATTAAATGAACATGACATAAACTTAACAATCGAAAAAAAATGTACTGTTGAACGGGGTGAAGTTGATCATTGAAGTGAAGTTAATCACTAACAACACCGCTAATTTTTCGTTACTCAACCAACCTGTTTCGCGACATTGTTTTAAGATAATTTGTTTAGAACTTCATTCAATAGTTCTAAATAGTGCTTTTGAATTGGTATCTCTAACTAACGGTGCATTCTATCACTCTGAATGTACAATTTTCTGGAAGTGATCAAACATGCAACTTTTAGCTATTCCTAAAAATCCTATTAGAATTAGCATGTAGTCTGGTGCAGTGTATGACAAAATTAATAATTCTACTTAATTTAAGGCCGCTCTATCCGAATCTGAAATCAGATTTCGTTAAAAATGAACGGCTTATTGTCAGAAAAATTATTTTATGTGAAAACTAATAGCTTCTCAAACATTGATTTTAGGGGTGCAGTTTGTTCAAAGATAGATGTTTTTGCATATGTTAAACCGCTTCTTTTGATGTAGACTGTTTGGTGATTAAGCGACCTACAAGTGAGATCAAAATATATTTTTTATCTGATTCAGATAGAGACTTAACGTCTTCAATAAAGTTGTAGCAAATGTTATTTTAAGCAACTTTGCTGAAAACACAAAATTTCCTTCATTTTTCCACAATGATTTGAGTTTTAAGTATAACATTTTTCCTAGATTTTCAATATATTTAACATATTGCACAAAGTTGTTTCCCGTACAAAAATACATAGTTTTGCTGAACATTGTAACATGTTATCTCTTAAAATACAAATATGTATTCAAAAATAAGACATTTGCAGGCGTTTTTTTAGTTATCACAAAAACACATAAAAGATCGCGTGCTGACACATGTTTTTATAACTTTTCGGCAGTAAAATAAGTATAGATTCAGAATCTTATCTATATTTCTGCGCCAATTTGCGCCGAAAATAGTTATTTGAGGAGCAAATACCCCTAAAAATATCGATTTTTTAAGAATAACTTTTTTGTTTCAAGAGATCATTAGTTACAATGTACAGTAAAAGCATGTGTTTTAACTTGCAAAATATAGTTTTAGAAGAAATCAAAATGAAACTCATAAAAAAAAATACCTAACTTTAAGAATATTAACCTTAGATTGTAAGTTTGATTAATCTTGTGTTTAGTTGTATTTTGCACGTGTGGATTTTTTTTTAAATGTTTGATTTCAAGATGAATAGAAATAATTTCATGTTTTAGGATTAATTAAATATTTGTATCGTAAACCACATGTCAAACCTCCTTCTCCCTTTTCCCATCCAAAAAATTGTAAATCTCCACTAACCTCGAGACAACCGCGAGTACTCGGTCCAGTTCCGTTAACGTTAAATGTAACACAGTAATAATGTATAACGAAAATGATAACTCGGCTCTGTAAATTTTATTCGATTGAGCCTGTACAAATAAAGTAATTTTTAAAAAAATCTAAATTGCAGGATGTCTAGAAAATCAGTTATGCTAAAAAAACATGATTTAAAGGGGCCTTTCCCGAAAAATGTTACATACCTCGCAATTTATAAAATCTAGAAATTTTACGTTTTCAGCAAAGCTGCTTAAAATAACATTCTCTACAACTTTATTGAAGACGTTAAGTTTCTCTCTGAATCAGATAAAAATATATTTTTTAATCTCCTTTTTAGGTGGATTAATTACCAAACCGTCTACATCAAAAGAAGTGGTTTAACATATGCAAATAACATCTTTGAACAAACTATACCCCTGGAAATGTTTGAGAAGCTATTAAAAAAGCGCACGAAAACGGCAAAAAGCAACACTGTGCACTGTAAACCACAACTTTTGTTCAAATTTTAAGAGCAGAAGCGAAAACAAATCAAATGCAAACTTCTGATGATCAATAGACTGACTTGACACAAACCATTTGAAGTTTATATGAAAATTACTGTTGGAAATCAAAACTGTTTGTACACTTCCCAGCCTTTTTGTATATTACTCTCTTAAAAAGTTCTATAACTATTCTTATGGGCAATTTAACAACATTGCACAAGGTCGATTTTCAGCCAAATGTCAATTTAAATCGTTATTAATTGTTAAGGGACTGAAAATCTTATGACTGTTTTATGGACAACTCTGTATTCTGCAGACATAGTGCGAGAGGCCATAATTTTAATGAAGGAACGTAACCAACGTTACATGTAAACACAATTTAGTGCCCTCTTATTGGTATGGCTATAATTTTTTTTTTGTAATCAATTCGCCATAAAACTTAAAAATAGTTACAGGGAAGAGAGTCTTTCATACAACCCAATCAATTCGTTTTGATAGCTTTCGATTTTTGAAACGTGAAAAACATTCCTAAGCTCGATGGGAATCCAGATCCTAATCTTGATAAGCCAAACCCTCAACAACTGTTCTATCCTAATAAGGGTTGATTTACGTGGCCAGATTCTTCTTAAATCACAACCCTTATGTGGCACATTAAATCACATGCCAATTGGTAATAATTTTCCTAAAATTGTCAGAACTTCTCTCGATTTCTCAAAATCTTTCAGATTCCCATTGATCGGGCTTAAAACCCGTAATTTTCCTGAACATCTCGGAATTTTTCCGAAATTTTGTACAGATTTTGAAGTTTTTGGGAATTTCTATAGACTATGCGATGCTCTCTAGATTTTCCTGAAGTACTCTGGACTTCCCAGAAATTCGCTGGATTTCCCTGATTTCGGATAATTAAGTTATCGATAATATATTCAATATCGCATAGGTACCACAAAAGAAGAACGTGAAGTTGAGTATAACGATCTTCACTCATCAAACATAACTCAATGACAAAAGATAGAGGAAGGTGGGGTGTGCTGCTAAATAATAGTAAAGGGATTTCACAGTAAGCTTACATCTATTCTTTAACCATACATACAATTTTCTCATCTCACAAAAGCATGTCTACATTGCTCCATCGGTGGGGGACCCGTGATGATGATGCAACTGCACTTCTGCCACCGATATCACTCGTCGTACTGTTGACTGTTGCGCAACATTCAATGTCGTTGCGTTGCTTGCGCTGCTGCACCGTCGCGTGATGTCGTGTATCACCAATTGTCACGTGACAACTCACTGTTGCAGGAATGTCGCACGGTCCGGTGCTCCGTTGCAAACGACGGCAGTCGCAATGCACTACCCACGACCACGTATTGCGAGTTCCTCGGTGCGATGCGGTTTAACCGCTCCCCTGTCGTCTCGATACCGCTATTCTGGTTTCCTGCAGTCTTCCACGACGACAGAGAATCGCCACTACTCATGCAAGGTGATTGTGGAAAGGACGACTGTAATGCTGCTTGTTCCTCAAAGGGGCTTGGCGTAGACTTGCCGGATATCGTATAGGCCAAAGCTATAATAAATAAAAGGCCCTCTGATGAGGCGACACAGCATTAGTCGATCAATCATCAGGGATTTACTTATTGGGTTTACCTTAAGAAGGCCTTTCGTATTGTTCGTAGCTCACGGTCTTTTCTGACCAGCACATGCGTTTATTGAGCACTAATGGCAATGATACGAGCTCCTGCGTCCGATGATGATTGTGATGTATGAAGGCTCCCTCTTATTGCTCCAGGAACGGCAGTCTGATCATGAGGGAGGGTGCATGCAACTATCCTGCAAAGAGCATGTTAGCCCGCTGTTTTGCCTACGTCATGGCATTAAATTTACCTTGAGAGACAGATCACGCTGATTACTCCTTCTGTCAATCAGGTGGGTGGTCCTTCTTCACCGGAACTAGATCTATCGCCGCGTACTTTCAGCTATCATCGAAATTATTTCACCAGCACTTTCGACGCCAACCACACGATAGTAGTTCTCTAACAACAATACCCGTCCCATTGTATACTACGGGTATTTGTTTTTGCAAAACGGCTGTGTGGACAGGAGCCGATCTTCCTATCGATGTATTTGATAACGCCGTGAGAGAGGATGTATAACAGATGATGAGTTGGGTAATTGGTTACCATAAACGGGATACACTTGAAGAAATTGGTGGCGCATTTTGTCGACATTATCTCGAATTTTTTGTAACAAGTATGCTAATGAAATTAACCTTAAAATCTCCAAAAAATTGTGGAACTTCTTTGGATTTTCCTTAAGTTTGCAAAATATACCAGCTGTTGTTACATTCTCCTAATAGTCATAAATCTACTCTGACGATCCCGTTACTTTTCTGTAACTTTCTAAACTTATATATAGTTCCCGTAATTTATTGGAATTCTCGGAACATCTGTAAAGTTTCCTAATATTATTTGAAGTTTTCTTAACTGGAATAAATGCTTCAAGATCTTTAAAGTACCCTGAAATAATAGACTTTCCAAATAAATCGGAGCTTTCCTGAAGTTATTGTAACTACTCTATGGACCTGGGCTTTCTTCTCTTCTTTCTTCAAAAGCTTCCTTGAACTTCTCTGGACTGTCCTGAAGTTTTTGGAACTTGCCTACCCAAGCAACACATATCCATCAAAATAGGTTGCTGCAACTTGATTGTGACTGAAATAAGGTGCATACAAGAAACCACAACTTTTAAGTGACAAGTGTGCTACTAGGGTAATGTCCCGGCAATCATCCAGGAATTTATAGAACAATCCTGAAGATCATGCAATTTTCCAGTTTTCAGGACATATCTGAAATTAAAGGGACTTTCCATATTTCATAGGAACTTCTTTCAAGTTCCTGCCACTTCTTGAAATTAATGTAACTGCTTTAAAGATATCTAATCACCAGCAGACGCTCTGGACAGCAATTGCATTTATGAAGGGTCGTAGAGTTCTCTGCATCTCTCTTAAGTAAATTTTGGATAAACATACCTTTCCTATCCCTACCAGTTGTAAGGACGTGGCCAGGACAATCCTTAACTGTGGAGCGGGATATGTCTTTATCTCGGAGATAGTAATTATTTCCTACTAACTATCTGTACAGTAATAGATATCCGTCTTGCTCTTGATAGTTTTGAATTCGTACCACCTACGATATTGTGCAACTTGTTCGATGCTAATGCTAATGCCGCGGATAGACTTGCATGACAATCTATAAGCATGAGCATTATTTGTATAGTAAATTATAAGCACATCCATGGTCACACTTGTATAGTTTGTGTATAGCTGTTCATATAGCTGTTGAATAGTGCTCATAATTATTATACAAATAATGCTCATGCTCATAGTAGTTCATACAAGTGTATCCGTGGCATAATTCCAACACTGAATTCTGCAGACATAGTAGCCATGATTGTTGTGCTCTAGGCTACGCTCCAGAAACACCAGTGTTGCCTGTCGAACAGTTGATTTATCATATTCATAAGACATTAGTGACTTGAATAATTAATAACTTTTGATCCTTACATTTTATCAAAAAGTTATATTGAAAAAAGTTGTAGCTGTGAAAATTTCCAACAAGCGTAGATGTCATTTGTCTAAACAGAGCGATATGGTGAGCAAGCAATTATATGACCAATTTTTAGATAGATATGAATAAAACAATTTGTTTTCCCATAGTAATTTCCATATAAGATTCAAATGATTTGTGTCAAGTCAGTTTATTACTAGATGCGTTCAAATTTTGTAAGGCTATTCAGAACCCTATTTGGAACCGTTTGAGCAATGTGGAATAAAAATTTCAAATTTGGCATCAGTCTAATGATCAACTTCGCCCCAGAGATGAAAATTTGCGTTTTTAATCTATTTTAATTCTAAAAAATAAACCAAACCAAACATGCAATTTGAAAACTAATTTCGTACATTCGAAAAGCATTTGCTAGTCCAGGTTGGACAGCTATTCGTTTGGGTGTCAATCATATTTTTGGAAAAATATTCAGCTTTCTCGGTAAAAAGTGATGCAATGCCTTTATGTATTATCGTTAGGGGGTTAGGGGGCTCATTTTTTGCATGAGGATACATCCATACCAACCGATGGAAACTAACGATTTTAAATTGGCTCACTACTTGACTAGCCTATCGCTCCCAAGCAAATCGATTAACGTAACCTATTCTAGTCAAAATTCTAGTACTACACAATGTTTGTTTTGATTGGCTATGAAAGTTTGACAGACAAAATGAGGGGTTAGTAGGTTTTCCTATGTTTCGAGGGGTGAATTGATTAGCTTGGGACCGAAGATAGTACCAGAGCTGAGCCAAAAAGTTGAGCACGTTTCTTGGGGACCTACTAGTCTTAGAGTTACCTCTATGTCCATACATCATGCCTCATAGCATTTATTGCATCCAAATTTATGTATGGACCCAATATTAGAGACTCTTAGGCCTACATTGGGGACATTTTCCCCATATTTTTTTTCTTATGGTAAAAAGAATAGATTCGATATCGCTTGCGTTTATTCTGCGGACACTACGATAAGTAGGGTAAATTATGGCTTCGGCACCCATTGACTGTTTTCGGCAACCGAAATTGAAACGTTAAGTTCACTGTTTTTTCCCATCAAAACTCTTCGCTGAATATATTAAGCCGATTCCTTACCTTTTCAGCTTCAATCTGATTACATTTTTACGACTGTGCAATCCTGTTCTGCCATATTTTTCTTTAAATGAAATATACACACTACAAAATACGGCTGATTTCAAGTTGCCGATAATAGAACAGCTGGTTAACACGCAGTTCAAATGGAAAGGGTGCCGAAGAAAAAGAGACTGCCGACAATAGTCACACTCACCTGAGAAGTTTGGAGCGTTGTAAAAACATGTTCAACCCGTTTTGATCAATTCTGTCGATTGAAATTGGTAGAACAGCAAGCAGCAGATAAATGTCAACAAACAAACCTGTCATGTATGTGTGTGACGCTGAGATATCGCTAATAGAAGTTCGGACGCTGCTTAGATTGACGAGAATACGTAAATTCCCCTACGTGTTTGGCGCTTATTTTGCCCAAACTCCCATATATTGATGAATTAAATTTAAACTTGTTGACTGATCTAAACAGTGAAATTTTCAAATATCATTCAAGTATAGTCCCTAAGTGACTATTGGAAAACAGTATAGGTGAATAACGGGCCAAATAAGCTTCATATATCAAATGTGATATAATAAATATAACATAAGACAAATAGAAGCAGATGTGACTATTAGGCTCATTTTACTCTAGTATCCCATATCAGAAAAAAAAATCACTATATTCGATAATTTTCTGATTTTGGTGCAAAATAAGCCAAACGCTTACTTATCATCAAAGTATGCGGACTGGTGTGCACTTTTTACCTTAAGGAAACATATAGGGGAAGGAGGGGCATAGTGAGCATCCCGAAGTTTGGCTCTGGATCTCCAGCTGCATGAAACAAATTAAGTGGTAGTAGGTTCAATTTAATTATGATATTGATCCTACCACCAACCAATTTGTTCCGAACGGCCGGAAGTCCAAGCTGGTGCACGGGATGCTCACTATGTCCCACCTGTTCACTATGCCCCTCTTACCCCTATTTCTATAAAAATAAATTCAAGATTTCAGTGGCAGAAAATTTTAATCCTTTTTGTTACTATACTTCTGCTCTTCGCATGACGGTCTCATAATAGTATTTGTCAAAACTGAGTTTTTCAATGCAAATGGTAGCTAAACACCCATATTTTTAACTCAATAACTTTGTTCTGAAAAAGTTTAGAAAGACAATCATCACTCATCACTTAAGAAGCAATGGTACGAATCAAATGCGAGTTTCTCGGCTTGCTGATAAGTATAATGCCCACAATGGCATCGTTTGGAAAAATTGAGTTCTTTAGGGGTATTGAGGTAATTTCATATTCGTAATCTGCATTACAAATGGATTCGAAATCCAAAATTTCATCAATTTTGGAACACTTAAACTATTTTTAATAAGTGTGACTATATTAGCTAAAATCACCACCTTAGCGCCCCTCGATGGTACTTCGTATGGGAACGAGCTGTCAGTTTGTTAGTTTTGTGTCAAACAGTGAAGTGATTATTTTGCTTTAAATCTTGATTTAAAAATTTAGATGGAAGTAAATGGGATCGAAAAAAAGTATCGTTGTCTTCAGAAAATGACGTCCTTTCAGATGATGTATGAAAACCGACCTATTTTTCAAAATTAAAGAACCCAATCGAGGACTTTGTTTTCCCCTGACGATTATAGGTAAAGGCCGAAGCCGTCATTTACTCTTCATATTTTTAACGGCGCTCACATTCACAATTATTCTAAACATCAGACAACTATAAAACCAACAAAGTTTTCACCTTCACAATTGTTCATTGCAGGTCTGGTGATTGGCTTGGTCAGCGCTCCAGCGTCAATCTACTCCGCTGAAATTGCCACCCCTCGCATGCGTGGACGCCTCACCGTGCTCACATCGCTCTCGATTGCCGTCGGAATACTCATGATTTACACCTTCGGATATTTCATCCCGGAAAACTTCCGCTTGGTAGCTTCCATAGCAGCCGGATGCTGCGTCTTCTCGCTGCTTTTGCTAATCCCGCTGCCCGAATCTCCCGCTTGGCTGATGTCGAAGGATCGCGAATCGGAAGCCGAACGATCACTGAAGAAGATTCGAGGATTCGGTACCTGTAGCAAAACTATTCCGGAAATTGAACACGAATTGGGACGTTTGCGAGATAATGTCCAAGCACAGAAGCTGGCTGGCAAGGAACGGTTTGTGGACCTCATTAGGCAACCGCAAGTCTACAAACCTTTGGGAGTGATCATCGGATTCTTCGGATTCCAACAGTTTTCCGGAATTTTCGTTGTCATTGTTTACGCCGCAAAGGTATCGTCTGAAGCGAGCGTTTCGATTGATCCATTCCTGTGCACGGTTATGATCGGAGTGACTCGAGTGATTGCCACGACGATGGTGGCCTACATTCTCGATACCCTTGGTCGCAAGCCCCCATCGATCTTTTCGGGAGCGGGAATGGCTGCCTGCATGTTCGGTATCGCGGCTTGCATCTACCATCCTCCGGCAGAGAATCTCAGCTGGCTTCCAACGTTCCTGATCATAAGCTACATCTTCACCAGCACCCTGGGATTCCTTACGATGCCATTCAGCATGCTGGCAGAGCTATTTCCGCAAAAAGTACGCGGACCGGCATCCGGAGTGACCGTCTTCTTCACCTACCTGATGTCGTTTGTGATCATCAAGCTGTACCCAACGATGGTGGAGAGCATGGGCAGCGCCAACGTGTTCATCTTCTACGGAGCCGTTTCCCTACTCGGTGTCCTGTACGTTTGCTACGTCGTTCCGGAAACTAAGGGAAAATCATTGCAGGAAATTGAAGACTACTTCCGAGGCAAATCTCTTACCAGGCGATCGAGTCAATCGGCCGATGACGAAAGTGCCGACCTTTCGTCCTCTGCTGCGTGAGGTGGCGTCACTCGAGCAGAACAGGGATCATTTCGCACGTACTTAAAAGATCATTTCTCTTCATTGGAGACTTTTCGGCACGAGTTGTTCATGTTATATTTTAAGCACCCCGCAGAGAGTAGACCTTGATTATGACATTTTTCTGTTTTTGCAAATTAATTTTGATGGATGTGAAATTGACAGAGTTGAAAGGTTATCCGAATTCATCAAACGTCGCCGAATGGCGGAATGGTTGAACCGCTGGACTGGGCTGTGGCAGTCAGTTTTGATGATTCGATGGCATCATTTTTTTTTTGCAGTAGATGATCCTTGAAGATCGTTCATTAGAGGACAAATTTATATCAATTGAGAGACTCTTTTTTTTTAAATCGACAGAAGCTGTTCAAAGAACAACGCTTGATTAGCAGGAATTCAATTCCATCACTCAGAGCAGTTAGCGTACTGTGATAGATATTTTACTTCTGGTAACTTTGTTAGTGTAGGTAGAATGTTTGTAAATAGTTATATCCAGTGTTTTGTCAATATGATACGAAATAAACGAAAGTTCGATGAAGAAATCAATTACTGTTGAAAATCGATTATTGTTATTGACAAAAAAGAAACAACCTTCTCGATCTGGTACAACTTTGGTTGTGTCGTAGTGATTAAGATTGAATGAAACTCTTACACTAATATGTGAATAATGCCATTGCAAGGTCTCTGGTAGAATACCATTATTTAAAAAAAAAATCAGTATTGCCTAGAGTATTGCTGAAACGCCCACCAAACGAAATCTTTTCATGTAAGGCTAATTACAAAAGATCCAATAGGGGTTCATTTTTCCGTTTATTTACTGGGCTTAAAAATTAAGTTTTTGAATGTAATTTACACTAAAACATGAAAAACATTAAAAAAAAATGTTCTAAGCTTTTGCTTGGTAGGTGGTTCAGCGTTATTGATTTTTTTTTATATATACAGGGTGCGTGACGAATTTTTGCAGTAAATGGCATATTTGAGAAAAAAAACACCAGTTAGTTATTCTAGCAATGAGTTTTGTGCGATTTATTTTCTTTCGCAACATATGGAAGTTGTAAGTAAATTTATTAAAAAAAAATTGCCTTCCCTTTCGACGACTGTAGTTAGACGCTTCCGGAAACTGCAGTATGCACGTTTTAAAATGTTTCGATCCATAGATGTCATCACTGGCTTGATTTTATCTTTTAGCGACTTAAGTGTGGTGTTGGGGGTGCTATTGATATCCCGTTGGACGACGCCCTATACAAAATAATCCAACGGATTGATATCGGGACTGCTTGGGGGCTAAATTTCTTCCTCCCAAATTTACGAAATATTTTCCGTAAGCCATTTCTGTGCTTTATTAGCAGTATGAGCAGGGCTCCGTCTTATCACTTTCCCAAGCCTTTTTTAATATTATGCACTGTTCTTTCAGACACATTTACCGACCGAATTATTACTATCATGCATACTCCGGCGCGCAACAAAGCGACAACGGCTGACAGATTGCTCTCTTGTTTCGACATCTTTACGTTTACTCAACATTGTTTGTTTAAATCTTACACCTAACAGTATAAGCTATCCAGTGCTGCCAAATATATCTAAATCATGATGCACAAGCATGAGAAATTACTATTTGAAATTTACTGCAAAAATTCGTCACGCACCCTGTATAAGGACGATAAGGACACAGACACCGTGCACTGGCAATAAAAAGGCAAAATTGTTTCAAAGTTCATTAATCCCTTGCTGAAGACAAAATACCAAATTATTCGTTCTTACAGGAAACATTCTCAGTAATCGAATAGAATTGGTTAATCTTGTGCATGATAGTGCAGGATTGAGTATTAGAGGATTTTCCTAAAAAAACCCATTTTGTATAAGAAATCGAAGTAGGCCACGCTGTAAAAAATGACGTGTTTTTGTTTTGCTGCGTCGTTTTCGCTCTTGCAAAAATTCAAATAATTACAATTTGATAAATATACAGCACAGAAGTGGAATTAAAAAGTGTTTCAAGTGATAGTTATCAAATCCTACGTGTCCCTAAGTAGTGTTTATCGCAATAATCAGTTATATGAGTTGAATGTAGAATCAAATCTTTCTATTGCGTAGTATGAGCTGCCGTTTGTTCTAACTAACGCTTTTGACCGCTCAGTTAAGTGTATTTACTATTCATTCTATTATTTATGTTTACCCATATAAATTGCAACTACATTGTTATTACTAAATTCGTGCCAGTATCAAAGAAGTTTTTTTTTTTTGATTCTATAAATGTGAATATACTTCAGATATCCATTTGTTATATGAATTTGTTCACGCGAGGCTTATTTTATATGAATATTACCTCAAAATGTACGTGTGTGAACAGGTATTCTTGAAATGGGTCATTGGATTTAATCACCTTGTCCTGGAGATGACTAAAAATGTTTGCATCTATCGGTAAAAACAGTTTTATCGACAAATGGGCCATAGAAATTTGCCAGAAGGTATGCGGGGATTTCTATTCTAAAATACATAAATATGTGACGGTCTTCGGTGACAGTTTCGTATGACAGAGACTGTTAAATGACATTTTAGTTTTGTCCTGTACTTTGATAACTTGTTTGGCAAGTATCGGAAGCAAAGACAGTCGATTAGCATAGAAAATGCATCGACTTCAGTGACCGCTTACAGCACTGTGATCCAACATAGCCGTTACGTAATTTCAGCATAATGCCTGCTGGATCCTATCCAACTATATACTCCCGTTTATCCAAGGTTAGGAGCCTATCACCCGTATAAGGAGCGATAGGCCAAGTCAAAAATTTATTTTAGACTCATTAGAGTGTCCCTCTCCACGGAAATCTTTAGTAAAAGGCGAAAGATTTATTCGACAATTGAAGAGAGACCAGAGTGACGAGAAACGGCCTCGCCGGGCGACTTGCCTCTGGGCCGGTATGTTTCGCTATCGATGGGTGGTGGTAGCATCGCTATGCTACGAACGTTGGGTAGAAAAAACATAACCACAGCGGCGATACTCTGGATGGCACTTGAGCAGAATCTCACAAACACCAATGCAGTGTGTACATACGTAGGATTTTGACAGTTCTCTCAGCAATACATATGCAATATTTATACAAATCATATGTAGCTGGAGAAGACTCGCACTGCTATGCCGTTGTAGTGTAAGGCAAAACTACCTGTCAACAGCTCACTGTGATCAGTTCTACGGGTTTATCGATAGATCGACGGATTTTTAGATTTACTACGGATGTATGGACCGACGATAGCATTCTACGGATTTTCCAGATTTTTCGGTTGGTCTCGAAAAATTTCTATTTAAAAAAATATATACGTTTTGAATTACTGTTTAAGGAAAATGGTCATCAAATTTAGCAATAATTAACGCAGTGGAAACCAATTTACCTACGGATCATACTCTCCATGAAAAGTTCACAACACTGAACAGATGCCGAGTGCCGATGCCGCCATATCATATGTAGTAGAGGGAACTAACGAACGTGTATGGGTACGCTCTCGTTTTCGTGACCAAAGCAGTGGATATGAAAACACGTGCTTCTCTCTCATGCAGTCACCACACACACAATGGAAATTTGCGCGCCAAACGTTTACAAACGTATTCGACGACTATTGACAAATCCAAATTTGAACCGGCGACCACCATGCTGCAGTTGAAGTGGTGATGGATTTGAAATCATTTGTCAAACCACATATATTTTAAAGTTTGTGACCGAAAAAAACATTTTTATTCGTGTTATGTAACCCGTTTTTTGACTAATTGATAGCAGATATGAACAAAAAATTAGTTCTGGTCAGAATGGTACACAGCAAAAAAATAATTTTAACATCACATCAAAGTGGATGCACTTCCATCGCGTCGAAAATATGTTGTAATATTACTTGCCACAAAGGACAAAATTATCATTAATACAGTGCATGAACTGACATTACACTGCTTTTACTGCATTTGTTTATTGGCCATAAAAATTGCATGAGATTTTCGACATGATTGAAGTGCATCCTCTTGGATGTAATATTAAAATTTATTTTTTGCTGTGTACGTAAAATGCAATCGTTCAAAAACATTGTCACATAAATTTCACTGAAAAAAAACACGTAACCTTCAGATATTATAAATTATCTGAAAAGTACATGACTTTAATAAAATTCATTACAAATCATATTAAAAGCAACGTGATAAGCTTTGGAACTAAGATGAAATATGTATTAATTTCAAGTGAATTTCATGTAAGATAATTTCACTTAGATTCTACATGAATTTATAGTTAGAAAATTTCTGAGTGGTGATGGCACAAGCAAAACCTAACATGGCGTTCGAACGGTGCATCGTTGACGAGTTGTTGCTGGATTCACAAATACCATTGAATTTGTTGAATTTTCTGATAAGTATGATGTTTTATTTTTGTCATGATACACCATTTATTTATGGTATGTTTTTAAACGAGGAATCGACGAACGAGGAATGATCTTTTAAAATGAAAATGCAATGCATACAATTTTCGTTGTTTGTGTGTACTACCTATTAGAGTTGTATGCGGATTTAAATTTACGTGAAAAACTAGATGGAAAAAATCTATGTATGTTTTCATTTAACATCTAAGTCAAAAATTATCAGTATTGTTTGGTGTATTTATGAGCTACCATATTTAAATATCTTCAAAATAAAAAAAATATGTTGTTCCCAACAAAACATTAACAATTAGCAAAAAACATCCCGACTTCGGTAATTCATTTACCGTTCATTTACCTTTGAGAATTCTCAACAGCTGAACGGTCGGTAATGTTTTCGGTAATCGAGAACATTACCGAAAAATCTGTAAACTAAAAAAAAAGCTGCTAAATTTACCAAACAATCGGTAACGTTTACCAATGTGCATTGCTTGATAAGTAATCGCCTTTACCAACTCCCAACTAACAATCTTCACAATGTAAACGCTTTACTCATTTCATTTATACAGTATCAAGCTGTATTCAAACGTTATACGATATGAGGAAACCTTTACTCAACCTCTATACAAGCAAATCTGGCGAACTTAGTCAGCTACTTATGGCTGTTGGAACGGTCGGGAGAAGCTCTTATTGCATATCTATTAACGCATCTATACAGCTGTTATCCTACTGTTTAGTTGTGTGTGTGAACTTGAAAGGCGCTTATTCAACCTTTTACCGGTTATCCAATAATCACTACACAGCTTTCTCTTGAAGCCGGATTAAATACTGTTTACGCTTTTTTATGAAGGAATTTATTGAGTTTATTTTGCTGTGAATCAAATTAATCGAAATTAGTTACAAATCATCACCAAATTATTTACCCTGCACCTGGAATCGAACTCGAGACGACCTCATTGGCAAACCTTGACACTACCAACTGTGCTACGCCAACAATTTGAACTTATGTAAACAAATCAACATTCCCTTCTACAACAAAATCGCTGAGTAGAGGCTTTATAATAGTACACATGAACCACTTTTCTCGACTAGTTATAAAAGAACAGAGTAAAAGCTGTAAAACTGCACACGTCTAAAAATAAACCTAG